CAAGCTACTACCGATCTGTAGACAGAGAAAGCATAAGTAATATATAACTAACACCAAAGACATTCAAATAACTTACTGGGTCTGTTGTTTGTTCAATTTCTTCTCGTTTGGCCTCTCGATTCAAGTCTGCTTCGGAATTCTTTTCAAATTCCGCCTGGCATCTGTTTACCAATAGCTTTCTGAAGGTAACTTCTTGCTCATCCTTGTTCCTACGCTCTGCTGGAACTTGCATGCTTGATAGAACCTTGCACATCTGTGCATATGCTTCAGAGAAGTTTGGTTCATCGACAGCCTACACATTCCAATACATAACATGTCACTTTGTTCAGCAAGATCCACTTAATGCGCACAGAACATTAGTTTGACAATTATTATTTTAGACCAGTGAAAATAAATCCTATGAACGGAGAAAATGAATCACGTTACTGGTAGTTAAGACTATAAGTACAAAAAAGCTGTAATTTTGACTGCTTCCTACAGACTCCCACATTACAGTAATAATAAAGAAACAATTTTATATATCTAACAACTAAGAAATTCAGAGGTGATGTTTCAAACAAAGATAAGTTTTAATATGGCTATCTCACCTTTTCAAATACAAGGTTGATGACACCCTTCAACCGATCACTGCTGTCAATTGGCAAAGCCTGGACCTGGGATACGAGCGTTCGAAATTTCTGAGGGGTTAGCTTGTTAAGCACACCACGCACCTTCCTGTACAGGTCCTGCAACATCAAGTCCACTCTCATCACCACCTGTTATGTACAACTGCTTTCAACTTCAGTTAAACAAAGCAAAGATAAAAAGCACATGTACAATTTCTTCACACATATTTTGAAGCCTTTATACAAATAATTCAAACCTCTCACTGAAAGCATCCTACATGTCTGGTTATTGCAGTACAGTGAAACCTCGATGCATCGTTTTCGGCGGGGGTGGGAAATAAAAACGATGAATGCGGGAAAACGATAGATGCGGGAAAGCATTAATTTTTTTTTAAAAAAAACAATGTTTCTCTTTCAAAGTTACTTCTTTTTACCAAAAAAAGTCTTTAATGGACAACTGGTTTGTCGAAACTTTACGTTTTAGACCAAACAGAGCACTTTCCACGTTCAAAATGTTTTCCTTGTCACGTTCACTAATATTAAGCGCATAAAAGAAGACTTCACTTTCGCCAATGCAGTGTGTGCTTCCGCAAAGCTTCGGGCTTGCATTCATCGTCTTCCTCTTCCTCACCACTCCCAACCCCTTCGCGAACAATAACAGGAAGAATGGAAATACTATTACTGGGGAACTCAAAGAAGCTGTAGAAGACCCTGAACTGCTGGAAAGGAGATGAACCAGAAGAATGAAAAGTGCTGCCAGCCTTTCCTTTGTACTTGTAATAAAAGCATTTGTGAAGAAATTCACACTGCACATGCCATCTGGCATCGCTGGAACGAAATATGAGTGCACCCTAATTAAAATCGTAAAATTTCTGACAATGAGCACCGCCATTCACTCCAACTATCACCCCTGCACCGCTGACCCCTCATTCCAAAA